TGTTCAGATTCATCTGTTTGGCCTTTAGCTTTATAGAGGCCTCTTCCTCAAAACACCATTTAGTGAGACTCTAGAACTAAAGATGGGAGATTAGAATCTCTCAAGGAGAAAATCTGGCTGGCATATAGGACTGCAAAGGCCCATAGACTTCCCTTTAATTGAGGCTATAAAACCACCAGGTAAAACCGCCTTGAGGAAGCAGTGCCTAAGGCTATCAACTTTACAAACCACTTCTAAAATAGCCTTAGCAAGCACTTTTGGAAGGCAGGCAAGACTATAGAGGGCTCTTAAGACCAGGGTCAATAGTTCAGTTGGTAAAACACCTGCCTGCCACAGGAGCTTCAGGGATCGGATGGGAGTTTGACACCCAGTACCCACGTAAAAAGATGGGCATGGTGACAAGCTCTTGTCACCCTGTGCTGGGAAAGCAGGACCAGGCTGATCCCTCAGTGAGTGACAGGTCTCCGTGAGAAACTTTTATCTCTGAAAATAAAGTGGGGGCTGATGAGCTAGCTAGTTCAGTCTCTAAATTTGAATAGGTGAGTTCAATCCCCAGAACCCACTGTGGAAGACTCTTGAAAGCTGTCCTCTGACCTCCACATGTATGTGCTGTGACATCATCACATGCACAAGAGCACACGTGTGTGCGCACACACACACAACCCTTATACAGCTATACGCATACCACTACACACAAAAGATTTCAGAACCAAGAGACTATATACGTAGCCATTCTTTTAGAATTATTACTTTATGTTTATGGGGCTTTTGTCTGCATGTCTGTCTGAACACCATAAGCAGGCTTTGTACTGGTTGAGGCCAGAAGAGGAAGTCGAGGACCCTGGGACTAGAGATACCAGGCTTGTAAGGCTTGTGGGTGCTGAGAATCAAACCTGGGTCCTCTGGAAGAGCTGTCGGTGCTCTTAACTGCTAAGTCATCTCTCAGCTCCCTGGAGGGGCCATTTTAATGCGTTTGGATCCAGTGAGTAGAAGAGAAGTGTCTTTCTCTAGGCATCTTGGGCTGATCTCCTGGAGGCAAGAGAGCAGCCTAGGACATCAGTGGATCCATCCCCATGGTGACGTCTTCTCGGAGGAATGGGAACTGTTTCATCTGAGCCAGCGCTTGAGAGTGAATAACTCTAGGAGAGTTCTGTCTATGGTGCTCTTGGCACCCATTAAACACTACCTGGGGGCCAGTGAGATGGCTCAGTGGGTAAAGGTGCTTGCTGCTAAGCCTGACGATCTGAGTTTGATGAGGTGGTGGAAAAAGAGAACTAACCCCTTTAAACTACCACTGACCGCCACATGCATACTGTGTCATCTGTGCATCTGTGAGCGCACCCCCACACTCATGCACACACGCTACCCCAATAGAGATAACCCTTCAAAACAGTATAAAATAAAATAAACGCTGTATGGATTTATCACCAGGAAAACAGAAGCAAAGAAATTAAGGAAACATATAAACCTCAATCAAAGCGGTCCAGCTAAGCGATGGTCGGGGGGAACTCATGAACTATACTTGAGACAGAGCCCAGACAAATCCCCTAAAGATGTCAGTGGGGACAGGGACCCAGGCTGAGCTCTGCATTGTCACCCAAGGCAACTGGAAACATTCCCTTAATCTCTTAAAAAGCTGGATTCAAGCAAACCTAGGATTTGTGTCTTTGACACAAAAAAGAATTTCATAAATAGCCTGTATGAAGCAGAGCCGGGCATTTACTAAAAATACAAAGTCATGCACCCAAGAGAACAAAAATACACCCCAAGCATGGCTGTGGGCTTCTCAAAGGAGTCACGTTAAACCCTGGTGGGGGTGGAGGGTGGGGGTATTCAAGAGAGATGTGATGTACCCAAGTGTGGGTGTGGGCTTCTCTTAGGGAAGTCACAATGACCTGTGCTAGCATTGCCTGCATTGGTGGTTCTCAAGGGGTTACTAAGGAAACTTTATCTTCCTCTTCTCTCTCCTAATTTTTTTTTTTAATGCATTTATTTAGTGAGTGTGTGGAGGTCAGAGGACACTGGCAGGAGCTGGTTCTCTCCTTCCACTTTGCCCGTCCTGGGATGGATGGAACTCAGGCTGCCCAGCTTGTCAGCCTGTGCTTTTACCCCCTGGGCCATTTCCCTGACCTTTCTATCTCTGTTTGATAAAGGGAGATTATGGGGTATCTCTAGAGGTGACATCTGATAAGGTAAAAACAGGAACCACTTGGTGGCAGGATGAACCCTTTTACTCTGCAAGTGGGGTTTCTGGTGGGTTTACACGGCGGGTGGGGGGGCCGGGGGGGGGAGAGGTGGGGAGAGGCAAATGTCAGTTGTGTTGGAATTCTTGAAGCTGAGGAGAGGCTTCAACCAGACCCTAGGCTAAGGGCTTCCTTTTCCTTCTCATGTCCCTATATTTTGTTCTCTCTCTCTTTTTTTTTTTTTTCTGTTTCACTTTGACCTCAGATGGAGCCTGTGACTTCCCACTGCCTCCCCTATTGCAGTTAGAGGCACACAAGTGAAAACCCCTGGACAAGGGTGGTGATTCATCTTTCAATACCCATGGGCCGGCAGTCACACCCAGGCCCTAGCCAACTCTGTGAAAGTCTCCACTGAGTTGGTTCCCAGTAACCGTTTATTGGTGGAGGTCATGGGGGCAAGACTGCCACTCAGTCCGTCGTCTTCCTCCCACATCCCTCCCTTCACAGAAGAGGAAGTCGCAACCAGACGGAGAGGAAGATTGCCCAAGGCCATCGCTGAGGCAGAGGAAGAACAAAGACTTGAACTCGGAACCTGAGTTTTCAGCTTGGGGTACCTTGAGCTGAGTAAGAGGAAGAAACTGCTGCAGGGCTTGGGTATTGGGCAGGGCTTGTTTGGGCTGGCAGCTTTATGGTCCTTTAAGTTCCTGGGACATGTTAGTGCCATCTGTCTTTCTAATCATCACAAAGCAGGCTAGGTTCCTTCTGCGGGAAGTTGGGCTCCAGGTGTTTGGACGAGGTGACAGGTTTATGGCTAGGACTGGAGTTCCGGGCTGGAATGATAAGAAGGGGGAGCTGGGGGAGGGGGTGTGGGGTAGGATGTGATAGCCAAGGCACCTAGGAAGCCACAGTCAGGAATGTCAGATAGAAACACCAGGGGGGAAGACACAGAAATCTTTAATAAAATAAATAAATAAATAAATAAACACCAGGGGATCACCTCAAGCACCATATTCACGCTCTGAGGCATCCTAACTAGCCCATGTCCCCAGGAATACCTTCTTCAGAGGGGCTGCCAGCCGCCTGGCCTTTCACAAGCTCCAAGGACCCCACCTCTTTTAAAATGAATACAGAAATCACTGATCAGTAATTATAGCCTGGTCAGGCTATCAAATCTCTCCCCCGCTTGTCAGGGGGCTGGCCTAGGTTCCAGGGACATCCCGAATACTCAGTTCCTCCTCTCTCATTGCTAAAAGAGACATTTTCAGCCCCACAAACACAAATCCACTCTCCAAATAAGGCTCCCAGGTTAGAGGTTAAATTCCAGAGCCCAGCAGACAATAAGACCCTGAATCAGGGACGCCCCTCCCCCACCCTGCCTCTCGCTTGGTAGGATCAAAGCTGCTGGGGTAGGTTGTGTGATCCTAGGCCAGAGAGAGGAGTAGGCCAGTCTCTAACAAGAGCGGAAACCCTTTGCTTAGATTGTCCCGATGAAGCCATTCCTTTTCAGGGGTCCAAAAGCCGGTGTCGAGGCAAGGAGAGGGTGATGAGAATTTGGCAACGGATGGGGAAGTAGCTGGACCAGAAAACGGGGCTTCCTGTTGATGGAGGAGTCCAGGTGTACTGCCTGATTCCTCGTCCATCTCCCCAACCCCGTCCCAGATTCCGTCCCATGGATGCACCGATTCTCCAGGAGATTCAGGGGATCACCGCAGAGACCGACATCAAGAAGCGCTTGTCTGGAAGCGAGGCGGGATCTATTTCTCCTGATATAGGAGACGGTTTCCTCAATTGACTGACGGGAGAACTTGAGAGTACACTTAGACCCTTGTTTTTTCTCTCTTCCCAAGGTCAGGGCATCTCAATAGCAACTAGTCCTATCTCCTGTGACACCTTGGGGTTTCCTAGTAAGCCACTTTACAAACCAACTTTCAATTGTGTTTCCCCCGCGCTCCCCCACCGCCCCGTTCCCCCACTCTTCTCCTTACTATCATCCCCTTAAAAGTCCATACCCTTTCCAGTCCCCAACTCTCCACTCCTCCCCATCTTGGCTCAGCACGCGGGCACAGGCGCGTGCGCACACACGCGCGCGCGCGCGCGCGCACACACACACACACACACACACACACAATACTAGTAATAGCAGCTTTGGGGGCTTGGCTTAAGAGTGGAAGAAGAGTCACGGTTTTCTTAGAATTTAGTTTGGGTGTAGCCCAGTGGTAAGAATGAGAAATAAGGAAAGAAAAAGAAGGGGCGGGGAAAGGAGGATCTCCAGAACCGAGAAAGAAAACTTAAAACAAAATCAAGTTTGGTACAGCCTGAGAGGAAAATGATGAGCCTCAAGAAACAGCTATCACTATCTGAAAGAGCCTCTCACCGGGCTTCTCTTCAACAACCAGCATAGCAAAGTTTTCAGCCCTCCTGATTCTCGGTCTCCCCCGAGACCGGTTACATTCACCCAGCCTCAAATCAAGTTCATTCCAAAGACACATTAGGAGACCCAGCACAGTGGTTAGTGGCAACATAATGGAAGCTACGAATCTGGGAAGACACCCCTGTGGGTCAGGTACCTCAAGATAGCCCATCTGTTCCCGGATCAGTGACCAGGAGTAGGATGGAGGCAGGGTGAAAAGACTACACTTCCAAACCTTGGGGACGCGAGGTAGGTGAGGGGTCTTTTCACCGCGGATTAAGGTAGTAGGGTAGGCGGGGAGAGGATTCTTTTCAGACCTGAGACTGGACGAGGCGAGAAAGGGGAGGAGGCTCCGCCAGGAGGAGGAGCCGCCTCCCACGACCTGCTGTCGGGGCTCCCTCCCGTCGTGGCTCTGCTATAAAGCCTCAACCGACATGATCGCGACGCCTCCAGTGGCTTCCTCGGTGCCTGACTCTGTGCCGGGCAGCGTCTTTGCCCTCAAGCACTATGCAGCTGCTTCTTGCTCTGTTGGCGCTGGCTTACGCAGCCAGTTCTACCGCAGGTACCCTTGGGTGACCCTCTGCGCCCCCAGCCGCGCTCCCCTTGTCAGTGTGCTCCCGCTGCGCATGGTTCGTGCAGGGAACCGTGAGGGTGCAGCGTATCTGGCTATACGTGAGCGTGGGCGCCTACACGTGTCCGCGGGCGGCTGCGGGGAAGCGTGTGCCCGCATGTGCGCGGCTGTATGTGCGCGGCCGAGGGGTATTCGCGTGGCGGGCGCACATTGTGATCTGTGGTGAGGATGCTTCTCCGACCCTCCCGGATGCACGATCCTTTCCTCACCTTGGTTCGCCTGGGTCTCCCCGTGGGTGGCGAGTGGCCGTCTGACCTGCAGGGACTCTGAGCTGGTAGCTGTTGCCCGCCCAGAACAAGCGCAGGAGGTTGGATGTTTTGGGGTCCCGGCGTTCCCCTCTTCCCACCTTGGGTTCCTCTGAGCCGCAAGCTCCCTTCTCCCCAGCCTCCAGCGCTGTACTGGGAGCCTGGCGGGGGGCATCCCAAGACCCAAGTCCCCGGCCAAGCCGGTCTTTCCGGACAAGGTGATTTTCGTTTAAAGATTAATGGTGAGCACGAGCTCTTAATTATTCTTCCAGGTGGGAGGTAGCGGTAGAGGAGTGTTAATATTTGATAAGGAGCTAAAGGAGATTCTAGAGGCTGGCACCTTCTCCGCTACCCCACAGCTCTTCACAAAGACCTCATCTCTTAGTCCGCGGGCAAGTTTTCCCCTCCAATGGGCCAAACCTCCCTTCCAGAGTTAGGTGCTCTCCCCTTATAATGGAGCGCGGGGGAGCAGGGATTGAGGAAGCTCTCGGTCGCAGAGGTGGAAAGAGAATGCTCCCTGCTGCAGGAGGGACTTAGCTTGGAGGATGTAGGGCATCCTACAGCTCCAAAGCTCCTTCCTATGCGGAGAGAAAAGAACAACTAATACAACGAGAGAGAGAGAGAGAGAGAGAGAGAGAGAGAGAGAGAGAGAGAGATATTGAAAACAAGGTTAGGGTGGATATTTGAAACAACTTAATAGAAAAATGTTTTTAAATTAATGGGTGCCTTCTAGCTGTTCACCTTGGGTTTTGTCGTTTACAAAGCAGGTATAGTAACTCTGCTCCTGGGTGCTGTTTTAAGGATCATCGGTAAGAGAATTTACACAGTGCCTGTAGGCTCTGGGCAGAAGTACTCCACAGGACGGTCATGAGACTCAGCCGACGACCCGGGGCTACATAGGCAGGAATCCTCTCAGCTGACCTCTTCACAGGAACTGTTTCAGTTAGAGCGCCAGGACCTCTTTCCTTCAGGCGTCACACTGCAGGGATTGGAAAGAGCCCGGGTTGCAATGCTTAGAGGGAGGAGGTGATAGTTCACCCCTTCAGGGTCCCAGACCCCGGGCTGAGCCGGTGCTGAGACTTTGCCCAGGACACTTGCGTTCTGCTGAGCTGGTTGCTAGAGTCTTCCACCTTCTCTCAGTGTGAGGGTGGGGTGAGCAAGGTCCATTAAAATGACTTCAGTCTTCTTAAAAGACCTCTGAACCAGGAGCCAAAATCAACCCTTCCTGCCTCAAAAAGCGGAGGGGAGAGGAAGCCTGTGCCTGGGATGGAGAACAGTGGCTCCCCCAGGGGCAATGTTTTGTCTCTAACCCCATCTTCTGTCAGGGCTTAGGTAGGACCCAGAGCTGGGAGCTTCTATCCTTCCCAGGTCCTTTATCTTGGACATGGCCAGAGGCAGTGAACAGCTTATTCTTTGCAATGGTTGCACCTCAGAAGCAAGTGTGGGAGCCTGAGCTGACTGGTGCCCTGCCACTTGACTGGCTGTAAGATGTCTACCTTACCCCTGGCCTCTGCTTCAATGAGCATCGTGTTTTCTGGCCGCCACCTCCTGGAGAGAGGGTAGTGACAAGAGTGTTCAGTCAAGCAGGTCAAAAGTCTCCGTGATTAAGACAATGGAGCAGAGGTCACACTAACCAGGGAGCTGGGGCCAGCATCAGAGGAGGGAAGATTCCTGAGAAGTGCCCAGATGGATTCCCCCTGGGGCAGGGCCTGAGGGCTCTGCTCTCCAAAGGTGGCCTTCCCCAGGAATAGTTTCCCTTTGGGCCGCATCTCCTAGGACTCTTCATTGAAGCCTGTTCTATTTCCAGGTCCTCTGAGGGCAGGGCAGACTCAAGAAGTCTGGACCCGCTCCTCTCCTCCATGTGACTGGCCAGCCCTTCATCTGTCTGAGAGTTTGGGGTAGAGACAGAGCAGGCCTGGAAAGAAGGGGAACAGACTCTGGCTTCAGAGGTACTAGGCCCACCTAGAGAGGGACGGCCACTGCACACCACCCCAGCGCATCAGCTCGCAAAGAGAGGACCACCATGGGGAAGACCTCGAAATGTGGCCATGCTAGCTGAGCAGCAGGAATGAACTCTGATCTAGGGCTAGGAAACTAGAAAATCCAAAGTGGCCACTGGAGGCTGCTTTCCTGGAGGACTTCCTCTTGTAGCCTGGAACCTTGTTCCTCCTGGTTACAAAGATTTGTATACTTCCCTCTCCACCCTGTCTCCATTTCAGGGACGGTCCCCTGCCCAGAATCAGGAAGAGATAGATAGGGCATGGAGGTGCAGAGCTCAGGAACACACACCTATTATCCAAGCCTAGCTATATAGGCAGATGGTGTCTGGCAAAGAAGAAAAAACCAAGGACTGGGTCTATAGCTCAGTGGTGGAGCACTTGTCTGGCATGGGTGAGGTCCTGGGTTTGATTCCTAGCCCTGGAAGAATAATAAAATAAGACAAAACCCCAGAAAGCTCCCAGAGGGAGGGGCTAGTGATGTAGTGTGGGGACTCAGAGCTGAGCCCGCAGCACTTTTCTTAGGAATGTCCTCACCCCTGAATTCTTTCCAGCTTTTCCTCTCCTGCCTTGGCTTAGTTTTGGCCATCTGCTCGCCCACAGGAGGCCAGGGAGGAGGGGCAGAATTGTCTGTGAACTTTTCTGAGTATGGGCTGCCTGGAGAAGACCATACAATCTCTCATTTAATCCTCTCTAGTCTCATGGGTGGGCATGTTGGCTCCATTTCACAGATGATAAAACCAAAGAAAGTAAGGGACCATCCTTAAACACGGGGCTCCTAAGTCAGAATTCTAACTTTGGATGAAAAGCTTCATTCACCCTGAGGATATCTCTCTCTCTCTCTCTCTCTCTCTCTCTCTCTCTCTCTCTCTCTGTCTTTTTCTCCTGTAGACCTTATTTTTAGAGCAGATTTAACTTTACAGGAGAAATGCAGAATGCCAGGCTGTGCCGTGCCCCTGCATGGCTCCCTTGGACACTTGATTGCATCCCTATGGCTCTTTGTGCTGCTTTCCTCAGTAACACTGGCCTTAAGGAAGGGTTGCCCATCCCCCTGTGGCCTGCATCAGCACCCTCCTTCCCCATCCCCAAGGCAGCCTGACTTGGAAGGCTGGAACCCACTCAGATTGTTCCAGAAAGGAGGGTTCTCATCCTTCGCTCTCAACTGAGCCTCCTTTTAGGTTCCGGGCAGGATGCAGGAGGGAAAAGAGGTTGCTGACCCAGGGACAAAGCGAGCAGCCTCAGATCGCCCTTTAAGATCATGATGGTACTCGGTGTTGCTGACATTCCTACGATGGCTTTGCTGTACTTTTGTGTTTTCCAGACAGGGTTTCTCTGCGTAGCCCTGGCTGGCCTGGAACACAAGAGATCTGTTTGTCTCTGCTCCCCCGTTCCCCACCCCAGTGCTGGGATTACAGTCGTGTGCACAGACCATTCCAATCAGCCTTTCCTTTGATCGTTAAGTCTACTTCCCTGGGGACTTCAGTCCCACACTCCAGAAGGCTCCCATCCCCACCCAAGTTTTCACACCAGGGTTTTTTTTTTTTTTTTTTTTTCCCAGGCTCTGGTCCACGGGGCTGTGTGAACAATTCACACGCATGCCTAGGGTTTACATTCTTCCTTTCTCTGTTCCAGGTGAGCACTGGTGCTATGAGATCCAGGCCAAGGAGCCCAACAGCAATTGCCAGGGTGAGTACTGCCCACCAGCAGCCCCTTCCAACACATGCGCACCTGCACGCGCATCCAGCACTCAGTGACTAGGAGACGGCGGATGTCACTGAGGCTGCTGACCCCGGAAACTAAATTAGCAGCACATTTGCTATTTTTCCCCCCACATAATGGAGGCTGAGTCCGGTCAAGCCCTTTGAGGTGGAAGCGGGAGATGGTTCTTAGGAGTTTATTGTTGGAGTGCTGAGTCATCCAGGGTCCTGTATGTGCTAGACAAGAAGCATTTTACCGCCGAGCCACACCCCCCTTGCCTCCCTGGCACTTTTCCTAACGCTGACCAATTTCCCTGTAGCCTGCTGTGTTGAGGAACTGCCACTGTCTTGCCCCTACCTAGCTAAATGCTGGCGTTGCCTGTCTGGCTCTCCCTCCCTCCCGTGCCCTAGAGAATGTCTTGACAGATCCAGGTTCCTTCCGGCACAGCTCTTCCGGGGGGGTCGTCCTCCACGGTTTCCAAAGCTGAAAAGGTGTCTCCCCCTCAGGAACTTTTAATCTTCCCGATATTCTCTGGAAACACCTTAGGGGTTCAGGTTCCCACTGAGAAAGCCAGAGTTCAACATCCTAAGGTTACTTGAATCCCAGAGCTCTTAGCCACCCATCAATGGCAAGCTGGCTTCTCCCCAACCCCTCTCTCCGAATCCCCAGCCCTCAGCCGCATCAGAGACCCACGCACCTACCTGTGCCATCATGCAGGAGGAGGAAGAACACCAGGGCAGAATTCTGAGACTCATACCCTGCTCCGGACCTTACCAGCGTCCAAAGACCTTGACTCATGTCGCTGGGTCAATGTGCCCTTGACTCTCAGCCCTTTCTGCCCGCTCAGGACCTAACCAATGGACTGGGGACTGTCAGAAGAACCACCAGTCCCCCATCAACATCATCACCAAGGAGGCAAAGGTGAACCCCGACCTGAAGCCCTTCGCCTTCCTTGGCTATGACCAAAAGAAGAGGTGGGAAGTCAAGAACGATGGACACTCAGGTGGGTCTCGTGTGGGCTAGACGGGCAGGCCTGGAGGTGGGAGGAGCCACCGAGCTTCTAGAGAGGAGGCTCCATCAGCTAGGTGTGTTTTCAGTCATTTCATCAGAACAGGGTGGGTGAAGGGAGGGAATGTTCCCGGAAGGAGGGGCCGACCTTTGCAAAAGCACAGAGGCGTGAAACTGCTTGGGTGTTTTGAGTGGGGGAACTGTGAGTAGGAGCAGCTGTGTGGGAAGAGGCCATAGAGGGAAGCCAGGAGGAGATGACCCACGCCCAGAACGGTTCCCCAGGGCTGAGGAGTTTGGACATTATCCTGGGGGCGCCAGGTCACCACAGAGGGAGTCAAAACGGAGGCAGGCCCGGGACAGGAGTGCATTTTGGGATGGGTGTAGGGGAGAGCAAGGTGAGCAGGGAGACGGTGTGGCCGCCAGTAAGAGTGCAGGCTGCATCCCCTGCCCACCTCTCAGGGCCTAGTGAAGGTGGGGGCTTGGCATGGGCACCGGGAGGCCAGTGTGAGGACTTTGCCCACTCTGGTGTCCCCCAGTGAAAATGATGCTGGGGAACGGAAGCTTCATCACTGGAGGAGACCTGCCTGCACAGTACCAGGCTGTGCAGTTGCACCTGCACTGGTCACAGGATTTGAACAAAGGCTCAGAACACAGTATTGACGGGAAACACTTTGCCATGGAGGTGAGGTGCCTTCGAGCTGGTGCCTGGGCTGGGTTCTGGGTATGGAGCCGCTGTGGGCAGGATGGGTGGTTCAGCTCCCCATACGTCATCTATCCACACCCCCTAGATGCACATCGTACACGAGAAGGGGACATCAAGCAACGCAGTTGAGGACTCCAAGGACAAGAACGCAGTGCTGGCATTCATGATTGAGGTGGGACTCCCATCCCCTCAAGTCTGGAGGCTGGCTGTCCTCCAGAAAGAGCTGCTTGTCCCCAGCAGCTCCCCAGAACCTCTCTTTAGCTCCTGTCCCTCCCATTCCAGGTGGGAGATGAGGAGAACAAGGCCTTCCAGCCCCTGGTGGAGGCGCTGTCCCGTATCTCCAAACCCAGTGAGTCAGGACTGGGGAGGAGATGGCTTCTTCCCATAATGGAAGGGGCAAAGGTGCTGGGGTAGCAACTTTCAAGAGTGCCATATGTAAGGGACTTTGTCCCCCACCTAGGTACAAACACCACAGTGAATGAGATCTCCCTAGAGGACATGCTTCCTAAGAAGGAGAAACTGGTTCACTACTTCCGTTACCAGGGCTCGCTGACCACGCCAACCTGTGATGAGACAGTCGTCTGGACTGTGTTCGAGGAGCCCATTAAGCTCCACAAGGACCAGGTACGCAGGCCTAGGGCAAGGTGCATTCTCCCTATGGAGTCCAGCTCCTTCAAGCCCTCGCTGCTTGCTCCACAGATCTCTGGGGTAGGGAGATGGGGATCATTGCAGGGGTCCTTAGGTTTCCGCTAGCGGAGACAGGCTGGAGAGAAGGCTGTTCGCCGCTTTCCTGAATAGGGGGCCCTGTGGGAAGTCGTGGAAAGGGTGCCCAGAATAGGCTTCCAGAAAAGTGGGGGAGCTGACTGGTTAGTGTGGGGAACAACTTCCTTAGTGCTATCAGGGAGCCATCCAACAAACAACACTTGAGTCCACAATAGACAGCAGGAAGCCCAAAGGACCAAAATCCCTTGGGTTTGTAGCAGTGATTCTCAAAGGGTGACATCAACATCTTCACCAGTGAGAACTTTCTAGACTTGTCTATTCTTAGGCTCACTCCACTTCTATTGAATCAGATACTCTAGGGCTGGGGTCCCCTGAGCTCCTTCAGCTGAGGCTGAAGAACGGTCACCTTCAAGAGCCACTGTACCACAGCAACAGTGACGCTAACAGGGCTGAGAAGGGACTGGTAGAGGAAAGGGAAGACAACGGAACTCAGCTCCCCACAAACGCCACATTCTATACTCATGGTAGTCATTCCGAGCCCCCCTCTTCCTTTCTGACATGGCTCCGGCTCCGAGAGGTGACGCCTCTGGCCTGAGGTCACACAAGGAACATGGCTCCACCTGCTGAGCCGGGTCCCATCTCTCACAGTTCCTGGAATTCTCCAAGCGGCTCTTCTACGATGAAGAACAGAAGCTCGCTATGGAGGACAACGTGAGGCCCGTGCAGCAGCTCGGAGACCGCCAGGTGTTCAGGTCCCACGCCCCAGGACAGCTGCTGGCTTTGCCCCTGCCTACCCTGGTGGTCCCTACACTCACCTACCTGCTGGCCGGCTTCCTCCAGTGATGGACCGCTTCTGGATATGTGACCTCTGACCTCAGCCTTTAGAGGATACGGCTTCACTTTCCTAGACTTGCAGGTTGGATTTTGGGGATTATTAAAGTACGGGTAGCTGGCCGTGGAGGCACGCACCTTTAATCCCAGCACTGGTGGGGGCAGAGACATGTGGATCTCTGAGACTGAGCCCGGCCTGTTCTCCATAGGGAATTCTAGGCCACCCAGGGTTGGTTACTAAGGGAGACCCTGACCATCAGGCCCTTCCCACAACTGAACAAAATAAAATATGCATATATTTTTGGAGAAACCCTTTGTAAGTCTTTTTTTTAAACCTTTGAAAATCACCTTGTTCCCTTCACCCCAGTCCTGACAGGACAAGGACCTTAAGGCCCTGGAGATTTCTCCCAAGTAGGTATGACCCTGCCTGAGTATATGAATTGCTCTATCAATGCATACTCCCTCACGTCTTAGCCTCAGAAAGGCGTTAAAAGGACCTTGGAGTAGCAACACGAAAAAACGTCAGAGGACTTCTGAGCCAGGCTCTTGGGTCAGAGTAAAAGTGGTGGAAACTGAAGCCTAAGAATAGGCTAGGTGAAGGCTACACGTTTGAGCTAGAGTGGAGATACCTTGAGGTGCTGGGTACCCACCCCTCAGGTGGAGCCTGGAAATGCTGTGGTGGTGAACAGGGATTCATTCATTTGCCCTGGAGCTTGGCAGATAACTGGGAGGGAATGGGACAAAACAGGGAGATGGCTGGGGTTCTCAGTCCAGGACGTGGACAAAAGACTCATGTTGTTCAAGAGGTCGGAAGGCAGTGACAGAGACTAGGAAGGGCAGCTGCAGTTTCGTGGACGGTCAGGGCCAGGTGCATCTATCTGCAAGGGAAGGAGGCCACCAGGGTTCAGTAACACTCAGGCAGGGAGTGGGGCAGGCTGCCCATCAGGAAGCAGGGGGAGGAAGAACAGAGCATCAGTCAGAGGCGTAGGGATAGACAGACTGGGTATTCTAGATCCTGGACCACCTGTGGGTTAGCGCCCAGGGCCAGCCAGGATGCGCTCTTCTGTGGCACTGGGTTGCAGAGGCAAAAACAAGGTGGAGCCAATTCCCAGGTTCCCAGGCTCATGTCCAGGGCAGGATCTGCTCATGGGTCAGCAATAGGTGTGACAGGAAAAGGGTCAGGTGTCCTCTCGTCATGTCTCTCTTGTGGATTTTTCCCAAGGAGGGACTGCAGGGAGGGTGAGTGGAGAGACAGAAGGAAAGATGGTAGGCCCCATCCATGGCAATGTTGGGGTTTTGAGGGTGAGGTCATAGGAGGTCAACAGGAGAGCTGGATCCAAGCCAGAGTCAGGCTGTTCTGCCTGGGGCCGAGGAGAGGAGAGGCGTGTGTCCCCATAGGAAGGTGTAAACCACTGGGACACATGAGGTTTTTGTCCTGTTGCTGTTAACCCGAGGAGGGCCAGGTTGGAGGGGACAATGGTCCCAGCACCCCCACTCAGCTAAGCCTGGGGTAGGATGAATGGCCATATACCCCCTACAAACCAGCCTTTTCACTCTCTTTTCTATTTGTGGCCAATAATAAGCACCTTCCTCCTGCTTCACCAATGACCACCCAGCTGGAATGGTGGTGGTATTGTGTAGTCATGGCAACAGCAGGCAGCCTGTGTCAGCAGGGGGTGTGTGGACCAAGCATTCTCCTCTAGTTCCCAGGAAGCCTGAACTGCAGGCATCTCAGCTGCCTCCTCCCCAGGCTCTGGACTCTGAGGTCAGAACAGCCACTACTGCACTGGACAACCAACTGCTCCTCCACTCCCTTTCTCTCCCTCACACCCCTCCTGCCATCTCCCTCCCCACTCCCCTGTCCTCCACCTGGCCTTCAGCAAATAAAGTAGCAGCAGAAGCAGAAAGTTCTAGCTCTTTGCAAGTGACCAGAGGAGGTCTGACTTTTCCACTCCAGGTGGAAGGCCCAGGACATGCTCCACAATCAGCCTAGCGGAATTAATGTAGTGGGCTGTGCTCATCCAGGCCTCAGACCAGCTCTGCGGTTCTGGCATCACTCCCTGTGAAGCCATTCAGTTGGCTGGCCACCACGAGTGGGCAGCTTGCTCCCTGGCTTTGGCCCCACACAAGAAGGTTGAGGGGCATTTCTTCCTGTCAGTGTGCGTCACTGAAGAACAACCTCTTCTGAGTGAACTCACTGGCTCTGTGTTGACCCCCATCTGGAGAAGGTGGCTCTAGTGGCTTGTTCCCAGGCTGCTTGGCTCCTGAGGCAGTTCTCCCCAAGGGCATGGGGCCTGCCAGTGCCTCCTTACTTGCGAGGGAGGGAGCCTGCTCTGACTGCGCCCCAGCCTTCCTTCCTTTCTCATTCTTCTGCTTAGGTGATGGCACTGGATGCACAACTCCATCCCTGCAGATGTGTGCTTCCCTGCAGATGTGTGCCTCCCTGCAGATGCCAGCCTGGGGAAGCACAAAGGCCGTGGCCAGATCTCTCTGAGCTCCACTGTCCCTTTTCTGGAAGGTTCCCAGCACAGACTATGAAGAATGTTTATTGAACCCCTGCTATGTGCTGACTGTGGGACTCAACTGTTTTCTGCAGTATAGAGGGGAAGAAACCTGTGAGACCCTGGGATCACAGCTTGGGGTCACAGCCTGGGGTCAGACCCTGAGGTCACAGCCTGGGGTCAGACCCTGGGGTCACAGCCTAGGATCACTCTGTGCTTCCTGAAGTTCCCATAGTCAACTTTCTTCATCAGAGCCATCCAGGAAGACAGGCCACTCTGAGGGACAGGGTGGGGTCTGCCGTACCCTTTTCCCACCCTATTTCCAGTGGCTGCTTCTATTCCCAAGGGGCCACCTCTCCTTCCCTGTGTTTAGGTCTGGCATCCCGGTAGGAGACAGGGGCTAAAAATACTCTCCCATGTGTTTAGATGATTCCTGGAGAATAAACTTCCCCATCTTGGCTCTCACTTTGCACTCTTGCTGGCCCTGCTTCCTGTGGCTCTGATCTGACCGAGTGGGAGGGGAGAGGAAGGTAGGAGTGGAGGGAGGGTCATGGGGGTGGAAGATCTCCCTGTGAGTGTGGACTGGGGAGGCTGCTTGGTCACCTGGATGGAGACCATCACTGTGAACGGTTCTCCAGTGTGAGGCAACCCGTAGGTGCCAAACTTATATGTGCACTTGTTGGGAAGAGGCAAAAAAGTTCAGGCAGGGTTCCAGGCTTCCTTTGCAGCCTCAAGTTATCCATTCGCAGATGGGTCTGAGCTTGGCCCTCTTGTCTAAGTGACCTCACTGTCCCAGGGCTTCTGCTGCAGACCCTGGGAGGAAGGCCACGCCTATCTCTGTGGGTGGAGCATGGGCCCCAGACCTTCAGCCCCACACACGCCTCAGCTGCTTTGTTTGTTTATCAGAGTCGGGACAAAGACTTGACCTCCTGTGATGAAGGAGAGGCTGAGGTGGCGCCTAGTCGGGGCCCTGGGAGGGGCTTCCTCTGGAAGGGAGCTGGACAGATAAGTCCCAAGCTGGTTCCTTCCCATGATGCTGTTTGGGGACCCGGCACACCGGAAGGGTTGTTGAGTATATATCGGAACAGTCTACTTTCAACAAGATCTAATCTCCCAACAAACACTACTTTATCTTTCAGTCTAGAGACCGAGGGACCAGGCCATTCCTTTACCCTTCCCAGTCATAGGTCAGATACAGGGAAGACACTATGGGAGCAGGCTGGGAGCAGATTGTGGACCCCTAGGCCCAGAGACACACAGACCCAGGGTAGAATCCTTTTCTACTGAGAACTAACCAGGGGCTTTGGTAATTTTAAGTCACTGGAACCTCGGTTTCCTTGTCTATAAAATGGGGATGATGGGAACTGTGGAGACCGTTCTGACAGCATTTACCTTAGAGTTTGCTGCAAAGATAAAGTATAACACCTGAGCAAGAGAATATGTTCAGTACAGCAATTGTTACCGTTCTTTTTAGAGAGAGCACTGAAGCAGGCAGCCTCACAGCCCAGACTTCTGGGGAACTGGGCTTCTGGGGGGAGACCGGAAGCAGCAGGTGACTGCTGTCTGGTGCTCCTCTCCCTTCATGGAAGACACAACAAAGGCCTTGTGAAGCCGTTCTCCACTGAAGTGAGGCCAGTTGTCTTAGCCCAATCTTGATCAGTGTTCACCCTGTGCCTCAGGGGATAGGTGTGTTGGGTGTCAAGGATGGCATCTGGCTGAGCCTACATCTCTGACAGGAAAGTGTTGGCTACCTGGGGCCCCACCTGCTTTCTCACTGTGGGATTTGGCAGACTGGGGCTTCACTGCTGTCTTCCTTTGTGCTTTCTTGAGGAGGCACAGGGACCTTCTTTACAGCCCCCCTCCACCCTGGTGTGGTCTCACACACAGTCTGCCTCTCAGACTGGCAGCCCAAGGCCTGGGCCCTTCTGTGGAAACAAAGGAAGCCCAATTGCCTTTGAATTTCAGAGAAACAACTAAGAATTGTTTCAGTGTGTCCCTCACAGTGCAAAGGAAATGCTTAAATCAAAACATTATTTCTTGTTTATCTGAAATTTAATTTTAACTAGTAACCTGGTGATTTTTTAAAATTCATTTTTTTGTATGTGTATGTATGTTTTCTGTATGTGTATGTATATTCTGTATGTGTCTGCATGAGAGTTTGCCCTCTGCATATGGATGACCTTGGAGCCAGAAGAGAGAGTTGAATCTCCCAGAACAGGAGTTAGCAGGGGCTGTGAGCTGCCTGATGTAGGTGTTGGAACCCTGCTCTGGTTCTTTGGAAGACCTAGCAGTAAATCCTCTCCAGAAGCCTCCTCCTGGTGCCTGACTGGATAGCATCCTTCCTGAACTCCAGGCTGTGATAAGAACACACAGCTAAGTGTCTGTCTGGTTTGTAAATGAACTCTTGGCATCAAGCCTCTCCTCACCCTACCCAGGAGGGCAGCTAGGTGCTCCCTGGGGATTCTACTACACAGGAAGGCAACTGTGATAATTTTTATTAGTCATTTTTCTGGTCAACTTTTTTGTTTGTTTGTTTTTCGAGACAGGGTTTCTCTGTAGCTTTGGAGCCTGTCCTGGAACTCTGTAGACCAGGCTGGTTTCAAACTCACAAAGATCTACCTGCCTCTGCCTCCTGAGTGCTGGGATTAAAGGCATGCACCACCACTGCTGGGCTATTAGCCAATTTTTATTTATAATTTATTAGTCAATTTTTTTTTTTTTATTTTTTGAGACAGGGTTTCTCCGTAGCTTTTTGGTTCCTGTCCTGGAACTAGCTCTTGTAGACCAGGCTGGCCTCGAACTCACAGAG